CCCGGGGCCCGAGGCTGACAGCCTGCTTCGCGAGGGTTCTCGGCCCCTTCTGTCATCTAACCTGCAGGTTCATCTGGCGGTGATTCATGGGTTGGCTTGGACGACCGCCATCTTGTCTGGTGAGTCGCTTGCACGTTAAAGGGGGAGGTCCTGAGCATCACGTCTCAGGATCTCCTACAGGCTCTCCAGCCCTCATCCCCTGGCCTTGACCACGGAACCGCGACCTGGTATACCAGCGACTGCTGAGCTTGCTCGAGGGCCGGGACCCGAGGACGTAGAGCACCTGGACGAGCGAGACAAGAGGAAGGTCATTACGGGTCGTGCCTAACGACACCACCACAGGCGCAAGGACAGGCACCGTCCTCCTGACGGACTAGGACACCAAAAGATAAGTCACGATTCGCTGTGGCACCGGCCTCGCTCCTCGCACGCCCTAGCCTTGCAGTCCCACTCCAACGATTTCGCTCCCCTTTTCGATTCTCTGGGCGGCTGCTTGTACGACAAGGGGGACCTCATGAGCATCGCGTCTCATGAGCTCTCACCGGACCTCGGGCCGCTCACCTCCTAGCCTTGACCACGACATCACGACTTGACCACGACATCACAATCCCTCCATTTTCTTTTCTCTAGACGGTGCGACGCTCTACACTGGGTCCCGTCGGTGTAGAGCGTCGCACCGTCTAGAGAAAAGAAAATGGAGGGATTGTGCCGAACTGGGATACGCGAATTCATCACATAGCCACAGGAAGCAACACTGACATTAAATACATTATGGTCCTTACAAACCCCGCGGGGGCTAATTTTCATCCCGCGCGGGGAAAACAAAAGAAGGAAGCAAGTTGCTAAGCTGTCGGGTGTCACCAATGATGCCGGACAGGCAGCCGCTACCGTGCTCCGACCGCGGCGGGAACTTGGCGGCACGTAGCTGTCATCGCTCGACTCCGGAGACTCGCTGGGCTCAAGGGAGTCACTGGATTCTCAGGAGTCGCCGCTGCTGCTGGAAGAGGCACCAAAGGGGATAGAAGCAGGCCTAGCGCCCGTTGTTGCACTCCGCAGGCTGCTTCCTCCGGGGCAGCACTCCAGCCGTTCGCCCTCCATGTTCAAGACCTTGAAGAACAAGGTGCCCGCGCCGTCATACTCGAAGTGAAATCGACAAGGCTCCCTCTATGCGGCAAGCCCGGGCAACCTCACCCCATCCGTGTGTCATGAAGACGTCTCCGGAGGGCACCACCTCGACTTCAGCTTCGGTGGCCAAGCTGCAGCACCCAGCGTGCTGCAGCTGCAACTCAAGCGCCCCCCTCGGAGGCAGCTCGCCGGCGAAGAACCTCGGGAGCCGGATCCAGGAGTCGGAAGGCAACGCCGCCCACACCACGAACTCACGCGAGCTACCCTCGGCGTGAGTCCGTGGCACAGACGGTAAGGCAATGGCATCCCGATCACCATTGTTGGGGACTGCTCAACGGCACACATCTTCATCCCGAGCGCGGGCGTACATGGGGTGGGGGAAGCCAGGCGGAGGCCTCGATTACCAAGGCCTGGCCACCTCTTGCCCCACACCGGCGTCATGAGGGAGGCGGAGTCGCTTCTTCGGCGGGAGAGGATCATGCCCCTCCCTAGGTGCCTTCCCCTTTTCGGCTGCTGAGAACCTCCTAATCGACGCCATGGAAGCAAGGAAGAGAAGAAGCAGGCGACAGGAAGACGAAGGAGAGATTAGCGGGGGGTTCTGCCACTCCCCCTCATTTATAGCCGAGGAAGGCCAACCGCCAGCCTCCACGACCTCGTGCCATGACGATCTTCCGCATGCCGCATCGTTCGGTCAATTCGAACAGTTGCCGAGGCAGTGTGGGGAAGTGGAGACGCCCACGTCCCATCAATCGCCACGCGTCATCAAGGCCGCAGGCGGTTAGGGCCCGCGGCGCTCCGCACTTGCCCTTTGGCTTCGCCTGGAAGTCAAGTCCGAGCGCGCCTTGGTCCCGGGGGCTACTATCGGCGTTTTGGATATGGGGGTATCAAGACTTGCCTGCCTGCGGCCCACCACGTGGCTCCATCGACGGCCTGGTACGGCCCAGCTTCAACATCAACAGCTCAAGACCCTCGCGAGGGGCCAAGCCTCGCGAGGCGGACGACACCAAGACCCCCAAGGGGATCAGCCTCCTCAGGCCGGCTCCCGAGGGGCGGAGAGTTCTATGCAAGGTGCACCTCACGAGGCTCAGCTGACGTGAGCCATGACGACCAAGGCCAGACGGGCGCCAGGCGGGCACCAGCGGGCATAGAGTGCAGTTTCCTCTTTGGTGCAAGGGAGGCAAGCCACAGGCGTGGAGTCCCGAGGAATCAGCCAAAGGTTTCCATTTTGGTGCAACAAGACTAAGACCGCCAGGACGACAGGACGGAGGTCATCACCAAGCCCACCACAACGTTACGATCAGAGGCTTTTCGCAGGCGAAGACTACTTTTATCAGGATAAGTTGTACTGCTTGTCCCCTTTCGAATTTGGCCGTTGTGAGATCCCTTCCCGCCAACATTTGGGAAAAGGCCAAGGCCACTATAAATAGGACTTAGCCACCACCATAGAATGGGCATCTGATCTAGTTCACATCCCACCAGCTCTCTTGAGCTCAAGAACACCTCACCTCTTGAGGCTAGTTCATCCTTTGTACCAGCCCTTCGAGGCAATCCACCAAAACGCTGGAGTAGGATATTATACCGCAAGGTGGCCCAAATCAGGATAAAACTGTTGTGTCTCTTTGTCTCTTCGAGCTCGTCGCGCTAGGCTTAGGAGAATCGCGAGTAGGCAGGCTGGGTGGGTTGAGATTTTCGCACGCACCCCAGAGTTCGAACCTCTCAAGGGTTTGCGGAACGCATAGTCCGACAACGAGCAACTCATAAACAACTTCAGGATGATCTACTTGAGCATTTGTGAGCGCTTCGTGGTGAGAACTAAAAGAATGTGTGAATAAGTCGAGTTCAAATTTGGTGGAATATTTGCACAACATGATTATAAATGTAGGATGATATTTATCTTTGATTATTTTAAGTGCTCCAGAGATAGAAAAAAACAGGGGTGAACATTTGTGAATACCATGGACGTGTCCACTAATCGTTATGGGTGTTCGATTTAATGGAAGGAATTGGAGATGTCCGTCACATATGGAGGATCTTAGCTTGAACATTTCTTCACCAATTTTCACATAAATAAATATAAAGACAAAATAAGAAGAGAGAAGTCCATGTTACCCCCTTTAATTTCCTTAAGGTTTAACTTACAACCCTCAACTTTGATTAGGTTCAAGTTTCACCTTTTAACTTTAGAAACTGTACATAACACAAGGCTAAAATTACTGTTTTGATCTTTTAGAGAAGCTCCAACGCGCGACGACCCATTTCGTCCGCCGCTGTCTGTTTGGGTCACCGCGGACAAAAAATGATGGCCCAACGCGCCAGCTCATTTTCAAATCGCGTCCGGGCGGACCATTTTTAGCCTAAATTTGGCTGAAATGCGTCGGCGCGGACGCAAAATAGATGCGTCGCGCGTCCTCTTAGTGTCTGCCGCGTCCCCACCTGACGACCGACCAACTACCACCCGCGTCTTTATTAATGACGCGGGACGATCGTGGGCCCATGCGTAAGCGACGGCGGGGCATCCTTTGTTACTCCGAGCGTGCGGGGGCCGTCCTCATCCTCTCCTGCCCCGTCCCCATCTAGCCACCCTCTGCTCCCCTGTCGGCGACAACCCTAACCACCCATGGGGTTCTTCTCCGGCAAGAACAAGGGGAAGGCCCCCGCCGACCCTGCGCGCGCTCCCCTCGCTTCCACCGGCGTCTTCCTGCCGGCCACGGCAACGCATCAGCGTCCCAATGCATCAAGCGAAGTGGCACTGGGAGCACCCCGCCCCCCCGTACCCCGACGTCACGCTGCAGCAAGACTGGCACCTGGATCCCGAGAGGATCCCAGTGCCGGCAGGGCCGTAGTCGACGCGGCACACGCGGAGGAGGTGCGACGCTGGCGGCAACAGCTCACACCGGAGCAGCGCCTCAACCCGGTCTATGCATCAGACTCTCCCGAGGGGGTCTGGTTCGCGTTGGAGCACGAGGAGCAGTGCAGGCGTGGCGTCCACGACGTGGAGGCTGGTACCCGGCTGCCCCTCATCGTGCACGACGAGGACCAGGAGGCGGAGGCCGCCTAACAGGCGGGCACTGGTGTCTGTCCTCCATGAAAACGAGGAGGAGTGGCGCAAGAAGGAGGAGGAGGAGGCATACCAGGCGCGACTATCGAGTCCATGACGCTCTCCACTGCCCGGCGATCGTGTCATCCCGCCGCTGGCCCGACCGTCCCCCGAGCCGGCGCCGATCCTCGTCAAGCCCGAGCGCTACACATGGGACGGGTACGTGTGCGAGTGGGTCAGCTTGCCGCCCGTCTGGTTTGGGGTGACGCCGGCCCAGGAGGAGATTTACCTGGAGCAATGGCGGCAGCGCAGGCTCGCGGGGGAGCGCCGCGAGGGCGAGCGACGCTGAGGCAGAGGAGGAGGAGGAGGAGGAGTGCTGTGCCTGTAGTGGCGCAGCCCAGCTAACGGCGGTACAGCCACCGGCGGACGACGTCGCCGCAGCCTGGGAGATGGCATTCCCGTGGGCTGGCCCGGCGCTGACGCTCGTCGACCTCACTGGTTCCGACGACGAGGAGGACGCCTAGGACAGCGCGCCTCCTAATTTTTAGTTTAATTAAATGTTTGTACTTAATGTAATGTGGACTCATGGATTCTCGCCAGCCTTTGTGGTCGGGATTAATGGTTTCTATTTTAAAAATATTTGTGTTATTTTTTTCGCGCCATCTCAGGAATGGATCAGGTCAGTGTTGGACGCAAGCGCCGATTCAAACATGAAAGCGGACGTGAGTGTCCGCCGTGCCGACACAAACGGACAGAATCGCCTTCCGTTCGGCTCGGCGCGTTGGAGTTGCTCTTAAGCAAAGTTTAGTTCAATTTAACTCCAATTTGAAAGTTTCTTATGATCAAAAATCCTATTTGGCGACGCTCCACAAATGGGAATTTTTTTTGCACTGTGGAAAAATGTTTTTTCATAAAGGAGCCGATGCACCCGTCCACCGTTAGGCATTTCCGCTCCTAATATGGACTTCTCTGGAAACATAATAAAATTCCCATTCTTATACCCTAGCTAACCCCAAAAGCTCGCCGGAACCGCCGCCATGTCTTCGAAGGGCAAGAAGAAGCAGAAGCCGTCGGTGTCCCCGCAGCCGTCACCTCGTACCCCCCTCTCTCGCGCCCGTGAAGGCACCGGCCCGTCCACCGCTGCAGCGGCAGCGGCTCGGTACCCGGCGCTCGTACCCCGTGGAGGCGCCGGTTGTTTCACCGGCACCGTCTTCGATGTGGTCTCCAGGGGCGGGATTCGTGGTGGTGAGGGGAGGCTCTGGCTCTCCGGGGACGCCATGGCCAGCTCCGGGCTGCGGCATGGGTGTCTCGTCTCTGTATGCTCCTCCTCAAAATTAGGATTTCTTTCTGCACCGAACTAGTTTACTAGACTTTACACTTCAATCCATGCTCCATGTAACATCAGGTCTTGCTATTGAAATTTCGATTCTGAGCCGACCTTTGACTGTGTAGATGTATCTCATAGTGGCCCCTTGATGTTCTATCTGGTCAATTGAATATGTGCTGATTGATCCACCCTGTTTTTCAATACTGCCACAAAGCATCATATTTACAGCCTGCTGCTGAAAATAAGATTGACACATACAGTGGATTATGATACCCTGGTTGTAGAACTGACATTCGAGCTTCCCATGGGTTGCAATAAAGATAAAACTTCAGCTTACCAGTGTCTATGTGTTGTTTTGTTCAAGTCAGCTGAGCTCTGTCTCCTTGTTCTTAGGTGTCACTCATTTCTTCAAGTAGTAACAGTTTAGATGAATTCCCACTTGATAGCTTATTTGAGGAGTGCACCAGATTCTTTGATCTTGATGTGGACAATGATCTCATCTCTAATGAAGCTGGGGTGAACTTTGTGACTGCCAAAGTTTTCCCTTCATGTGAGGTACGTGCCTTTGTTATCTTTCTCCCCTTCGTGTATAAATGTCGCGAATACGAAACTATAAAAGTTTTTGATTGGATGGTTACTCTTATCAGGTTCAAAAGAATGGCATCAAGCTCTCTTGGGACCTTGCCTGCACGCTGGGATACCCTGTAGTAGGACGTCCTTTGTTAATTAGCCCCCTATATACATCTCAAGCCCCAAAACAAACTGATGGTGGTGAGTTTTTGAGGGTGATAAAATGCAGCAATCTCTACCTTAGTCTAGTTCCACCAAAAGTTGCACCATCCAACCATAATAAGTCAGAGTCTGATTGCCATCCTGTAAGAAATGTGATGGTTACGGAGTCACCTAAAAGGATTCCTTCAACTTCTCCATGCAGAAATGAATCCCATGACGGTGCATCTTACAGTGGTTCTTCATTGTGCTTGGATCAAGCCACTGCAAAATCAGTATTGGCAGATGATAAAATAAATGACTTGCTGCAGACTTCTGCATCACGGTGGCTCGGTGGTAGGCACTTACTGAAAGGAAACTACGTTCCTCTCCCAATGTGCGGGAAACTATCTATGTTCATAGTTTTGTGTGCAGAAACAGATGGTTCTGCCCTGGATGTAGTGCATGAGAAAAGCAATTCAATGTCTAATGCAGAGGTCTCTGGTAAATTGGTTGGAATCCCTGCTTTGTTCCTTGTTGACAGAACCACAAAAGTGCACCTTTCTGATTTGTCATCTTCAAAGGAGTTTGGGTCAGATAAGCTAGGGTTCCCACCAGAATATTCCATGTGTGCTGATACAGGAAATGAAGATACCAATCATAACCAAAGGCTTGGTGGGTTATCTGAAGTGTCAGCAAAAGTAAAAGAAATGATTTCATTTTCGCTGGCAGATCAAATTAGTCTGCCGAGGAATGGTTTGCATGATTTACCAAGGTATAGCGTCAACTTGTCCCTGCTAAATTGCACACACATTTATTTGTTAGTTAAGAACTGTTGGTTCATTGTAGGTATAAAGGTATTCTTCTTTATGGTCCACCTGGAACAGGGAAAACCTCTCTTGCTTCTTCATGTGCCTATGATCTGGGCGCCAATCTTTTTACAATCAATGGACCAGAGATCATTAGTCAGTATCACGGTGAAAGTGAACAAGCATTGTATGATGCTTTCACTTCAGCTAAGCAAGCTGCACCTGCTGTGGTTAGATTTTCTTCTAATGGCCAACCACTTCCTTTTATTGTCATGTCAACTGCACTTGAAACTTACTTCTAATATACTACTACCTCAGCCCGGAATTAGATGACGCTCGAACAGATGTATCTAGACGTATTTCAGTGCTAGATACATCCAGACGGAGCAATTCCGGATGGAGGAAGTACCTTTTTAGGAGGCTAATGTCATGATTTCTTAACATTATCTCCCTCACCTGTATCATATGGGATAGAAAAATGAGCAATCTTTTGTTCATGACTTCTGGAATCTGAATTAAAATGATTCCCATTCTCAGATGTCTATCCCGTAGTGTTCGAAATGAAAATAAAGGTTTGATAGAAATATTCAACATGCCTATATATATGTTACTGGTCATCCATCTTTAGAGGAACCTCATCCTTTACAATTTTTGTTTTACATTTTAAGTCAAGTTACCATTTTAAAATCGATTTAACACTGTTATTTTAATTGAAGAGATAAAAAACGAAAATCTCTTATGAAGTAAATTTTGGGTAAGCTAGGTGTTAACACATCCATTATCTCTTGAGTAATTACTGATCAAAATTAGTAATAGCTGCTGATTATCAACGTTTATGGATTGAACGAAGTATGTAATTACAAATGGTTTCTTTATACTACAATGAGGACTTATGAATGATCTAATTAATAATAGCTGCTGATTATTTATGCCTATGGACTGAGTTACTTAATTACCAATGGTTTCTCTATATTACAATGAGGAAGTATGTTATCTCTTAATTCTAACAATATTGAGGATTGCTAATATGTACCTTCATTGATATTAGATATTTATTGATGAATTGGACGCGATTGCTCCAGCCAGGAAGGATGGAGTCGAGGAGTTATCTCTTAGAATGGTTGCCACTCTGTTAAAACTGATGGATGAGATTGGCCGTAATGATCGTGTTATCCTGATTGCTGCTACAAATCGGCCTGAAAGTATTGATCGTGCATTACTGCGCCCAGGAAGATTCGATCAAGAAATTGAAATAGGTAGAAATCTCTGATGTTTTTCATGTACCGCAGTTCTATATCTATTCTAGGTCATTGTTCTCTTTTAAGGTATTGTGTACAACTAAAACCAGTACCAGTATATGTGCCGAATACATGTAGGATTCTTTTTGGTGGTAACATGATCTGTTTGGGGTGGTATCAACAAATAATTCTAGGTATCAATAAATGACAATTAATTATCTTGCATTTTAAGTACTTTGTGCTACTTAAGAGACATTATGCCCCGTATACTGTTATTTGTGTCACTTCAGTAGCTGTTTTCATAACTTAGGGTAAAATGAGGTTGGCCATGCGCTTATAGATGGCATCAAATGCAAGCTGACTATCATCAATGACAAGCCTAATGTTGAAATAACATGGTTGTCCAGTTGATAAATTGTTGATCAAGTCATAGTTGATTAATTTGTTGTCTGTAAAATGGCTCACTTGCAGGAGTACCATCTCCAGGACAGAGGCTGGACATACTTCACCTCCTTCTAAGTGGAGTTCACCACTCTCTCACTAGTGAGGAAGTTGAGTGCCTTGCTTTTGCCACTCATGGATTCGTGGGTGCTGATCTAGCTGCACTCTGCAACGAGGCTGCATTGAGTGCTCTTCGCCGTTATATCAGTGTAAAAGAAAGTTCAACGCAACCACTTGGTGATCGTGCCACACATGCAGAAAAGACTAATATTCAAGAAATTGATGGCATTTTGGGTTATGAAATAAGCTCATTATCATCATCTCTCTCAAAGTTAACCATGTCAACGGAGGATTATAGCTGGACCAATAGAGGTGATATCATAGAAAGTAGCGAGCTGGATGATAAGAAAGATGAGTTGCTATTGTTGGTGACTGAAGATGACTTTGAACAAGCTAAAATGAAAGTTAGACCAAGTGCAATGCGTGAGGTATCATTTTTACCCACCTTATATTATATGTTCATTTAGTGTTTCTTTTTTCAGATTTCTTCTCTTATTACTTGCTGTGGTTTCTTTCATAATACTCCCTCCGTCTCAGAATATAAGAGCGTTTTTTACACTAGTGTAGTGTTAAAAACTTTCTTATATCATGGGATGGAGGGACTAGTTCTTATCTTGTAAGAAACATTCTTCTCTCTTGTTTTTCCCTTTTTCTTTTCATATGTTTGTGTCAATATCTGCGTCATGAATTCCAACCGACGAGCAGTGAAAACTAGACTAAACCATGCACATTTCAGGACAATTGATATGAAGTTCTGGTATAACGATCCAGTTTCATGTTAGGTGCTCTTGATTTAGTTGGTTGAGATTCTCTGTGATGTGTTATTATCCTGTAGGACATAGCACAATGATAATACCTCTCATCATTTGCTGTGCAGGTAATGCTAGAGCTTCCGAAGGTACAATGGGAAGATGTTGGTGGTCAAGCCAGGATCAAGAAGCAGTTAATTGAAGCCATCCAGTTGCCACAGAAATGCCCGGACGCATTCGAACGCTTAGGGATCCGCCCTCCTAGAGGATTGTTAATGATTGGACCACCAGGTTGCAGTAAGACATTGATGGCTCGCGCCGTAGCTTCTGAAGCAAAGATGAATTTCCTTGCAGTTAAGGGTCCTGAGCTTTTCAGCAAATGGGTCGGTGACTCTGAGAAGGCAGTGAGATCATTATTTGCGAAGGCAAAGGATAATGCGCCTGCAATATTATTTTTTGATGAAATAGATGGGCTTGCAGTAACTCGTGGCCATGGAAGTAATGGCATATCTGTTGCTGATAGGGTACTCAGTCAGCTGCTACAGGAAATGGATGGTAAGCCTTAGTACTTCCTTAGGGACTGTTGGTTGATCTCCCTCCGTCCCAAAATAAGTGACATGGTTTTAGTTCAAATTTGAACTAAAACTAAAACTGTTAGATGTGTATAGTCTCTTTTCAGTATATCTCCATTGTATAAGGGGTTTCCTGCACTTTACCACACATGTATATGTATTGGCCTTTGGCCCTCAGTAAAGATTAGTCGCTCATTATCCAACATGGTATCAGATGCTAGGCTAGCTTCGCTCCCCCGCACGATGCAACTCCGTGCTCTCCCTTCCTAGCCTACCTCGTCTCCGGCCGCTGCGGTTCGATTCCGGCCGCCCCTGCCTGCCTCAGCCCGCCATCTGGTCGTTCTTGGCCGCTCTTTCCTCCGCCCCGACTGGATTCGCCAGTCTGCCTGGTTCCGCCCCCATCTCTGTTCAGGCCGCCTTCGCTCTGCTGGGTTGCTTGGTCGCCGTCGGCCGCCGCCGCCTGCTGCTGTCCCGTCCGGCCTAGTCGTCCCCGTCAGTCCGGTTCAGTCGCCCCCGGCTGTTTCCGTCCGGTCCCGCCGCTGGTTCTGGCTGCCGTTGTTGCCTGGCTTTGCCCCGGTTGGCTTTGGCTGCCTACTGCCCTTTGTCCAGCGCACAAGCTTCATCTTGCAAGGTGCGTACGCATCTCTGCCTGCGCTAGGCCGCGCCGCTCCTGGTTCAGCGAGCCCTTGTCGGCCTCGAGCGCACCTCTGCCCGATCCAGATCGGGTGTGTGTGTGTTCGTTGACTTCCAAAAGAGAGAGAGAGAGAGAGAGAGAGAGAGAGAGCAAGCACCAACATCAGAGAGACTTTCCTATGTCCTTTTCGGGCTATGTTGCCGTCCCTCGGTGCTCGGTGATCTTCGATGGCACCAACTATGCTGAGTTTGTGGGCTTCATGCGCATCCATATGCATGGACTCCTTTTGTGGGGTGTTCTCTCTGGCGAGGTCCCTTGTCCGCCATGTCCTGTTGCGCCAGTGGCCCCAATCCCACCAGTGCCGCCGGTTCTTGCTGCTGAGGCTTCTCAGGCTGACCGGGATGCCGCCAAGACTCTAGATGCTGCTGTAGTGGATGCTTATGATCAACAGGTATCCGCATATTCTGATGCTCTCTTTGTCTACCAGGATGATCTGTCTGCTTACACTCAGTGGTGCAATGATGATGCTCGAGCTGCTGCTGTTCTCACTGCCAGTGTCCTTCCTCAGTTTGCTTCGGAGTTCATGGGTCTCGGCACTGTTGCAGCGATGTGGTCCTATCTTTGCCAGCGCTATCAACCCTCTGGTGATGCTCTATACCTTTCTGTAGTGCGCCAGGAGCATGCTCTACAGCAGGGTGACTCGTCTGTTGATGAGTTCTATTCACAGTGCTCTGCTATCTGGCGTCAGCTTGACTCACTGCGGACAGTTGTTTGTGGCACTTGCCGTTGCTGTCAGAGACACGGTCTGATTTGGAGTTTCAGAGGGTTCATGAGTTCTTATCTCGTCTCCGATCTGAGTTTGAGCCGCGCCGTGCTCACCTGCTTGCTCGTGGTCGTGTTCCTATCTCGGAGGTGCTTGCCGAGCTTCGTGCTGAGGAGACCCGCCTTCGCTCTGCTGGGTTGCTTGCTGTTCCGTCAGTGTTGGTTGCTTGAGCTCCTGTGACGTCTGCTCGTCCTACCACTTCGCCGCTCCTGCCTACTCCTTCAGGGGGGTGGGTCGTCCTCCGTATGCAGAGAAGGGCATGTCGCGTCGTGACACTTTCTGTGGATACTGCTCCAGGTCAGGTCACCCAGAATCTGACTGTCGCCAGAAGAAGCGTGACCAGAGGCGCTCCTCTTCCAGTGGGACTCCTGCGTCTTCCTCGACTCCGTCACTCACTGACCAGGACATTGTACGGCTCAAGCGTCTACTTGCTTCCTCTGGTTCTTCATCGACGGGTTCTGCGGCTGCTCTGACTGCTTCCACCACACCGCCAGCATCTACTCCGTCAGGTACATCTTCGTGGGTTTTGGACTCTGGGGCTTCTTTTCATATGTCCTCTGATTCTTCAGCATTGTCTTCTCTCCGACCACTTGATTCGCCTGTTAATGTTCTCACTGTCGATGGCACATCTCTTCCTGTTGCTAGTCGTGGTATTCTTTCCACTCCGTCCTTTTCTGTCCCGAGTGTTTCACATGTTCCTCGTCTTACCATGAATCTTTTTTCCGCTGCCCAACTTACTGATTCTGGTTGTCGTGTCATTCTTGGTACCGACTCTTGCTCCATTCAGGATCGTCGCACCAAGGCTTTGGTTGGTGCTGGCCCCCGGCGCCTTGAGTCAGAGGGCCTTTGGGAGGTTGACTGGCTTTGTGTTCCTTCCGCTGCCACCACTTCTGCCAGCTCTCATGCTCTTGCTGCCTCTTCGTCTGCGTCCTTCCAGCAGTGGCATCATCGCCTTGGTCACATCTGTGGCTCTCGCTTGTCTTCTTTAGTTTGTCAAGGCCTCTTGGGGTCTGTATCTGGAGATGTCTCCTTGCATTGTAATGGTTGCAGACTTGGCAAACAGACTCAGTTACCTTATCCTACTAGTGAGTCTGTATCTCAGCGTCTTTTTGACTTAGTTCATTCTGATGTTTGGGGTCCTGCTCCCTTTGATTCGAAAGGTGGTCATCGCTACTATGTTTTGTTTATTGATGATTTCTCTCGCTACACTTGGCTCTACTTCATGAAATTTCGTAGCGAGGTTCTCCCTATATACAAACGTTTTGCTGCCATGGTTCACACCCAGTTTTCCACGCCCATTCGTACTTTTCGTGCTGACTCTGCTGGAGAGTATATCTCTCAGCTGTTGCGTGGTTTTCTCGCGGAACAGGGTACTCTTGCCCAGTTCTCATGTCCTGGTGCTCATGCTCAGAATGGTGTTGCCGAACGTAAGCATCGTCATTTACTTGAGACGGCTCGTGCAATGATGATTGCTGCTTCCCTTCCACCCCATTTTTGGGCTGAGGCTGTTTCTGCCTCCACCTATCTCATCAACATTCAGCCATCGACTGCCTTGCAAGGTGGTATTCCTCTGGAGTGTCTCACTGGTCGCTCTCCTGACTACTCCGCTCTCCGTATGTTTGGCTGTGTGTGCTATGTTCTTCTTGCCCTTCGAGAACGCACCAAACTGACTGCTCAGTTGGTTGAGTGTGTTTTCCTTGGTTACAGTGATGAGCACAAGGGCTATCGATGTTGGGATCCTGTGGGTCGTCGCTTGCGCATCTCGTGTGATGCGACTTTTGACGAGTCTCGTTCCTACTACCCACGTCCTTCTTCCTCGAGTTTCTCTGTGGACGATTTCTCTTTCCTTCTCCTTCCCGATACACCCTGCTATGTGCCTCCTGTGTCATCTCTTCCTCCGGCATCTCTCATTCCTTCTCCTTCACTACCGACACCATCTTCTCCATCCTCCTCCTCCAACTCTCCACCATCGTCTCCAATCCGTCGCCCTCTCTCACCGTTTCCTCTCCACTATACTCGTCGCCCTCGTCCTGAGGATGTCTCCTCTGACGCGCCTTCCACCTCTGGTGCACCTCTCCTCACGCCTCCCCTGGTTCACAACCTCCGGGCTCGGCCTCGCCCCCCGCCTGATCGCTACTCTCCTGCTCGGTATGGTCTCTCTGTCATCACTGAGCCCACTTCCTATCGTACTGCCATGACTCAACCTGAATGGCAGCTTGCGATGGCTGAAGAACTTGCTGCCCTTGAGCGCTCTGGCACATGGGAGCTGGTTTCCCTCCCTTCCAGTGTTCGTCCCATCACCTGCAAGTGGGTCTACAAGATTAAGACCCGCTCCGATGGTTCTCTTGAGCGCTACAAAGCTCGCCTTGTGGCCCGTGGTTTTCAGCAGGAGCAGGGACGTGACTATGACGAGACATTCGCTCCTGTTGCTCACATGACCACTGTCCGCACTCTCCTTGCCGTGGCTTCTGTTCGTCAGTGGTCTATCTCTCAACTTGATGTCCAAAACGCTTTTCTCAATGGCGAGCTGCGTGAGGAGGTTTACATGCAGCCACCACCGGGGTACTATGCTCCTGACGGTACGGTCTGTCGACTTCGCCGCTCCCTCTATGGTCTAAAACAAGCCCCTCACGCTTGGTTTGAGCGCTTTGCCTCTGTGGTGACTGCAGTTGGTTTCTTGCCCAGTGATCATGATCCCGCGTTGTTTGTTCACACGTCTCCTCGTGGTCGGACTCTTCTCCTTCTTTATGTTGATGACATGATCATCACTGGTGACGACTCTGACTACATTGCCTTTGTTAAGGCCCGCCTTCACGACCAGTTCCTCATGACTGATCTTGGTCCTCTTCGCTATTTTCTTGGGATTGAGATCTCCTCAACCTCTGATGGCTTCTACATCTCTCAAGAGAAATACATTCAGGATCTTCTTGCTCGAGCTGCTCTCAGTGATGACTGCACTGTTGTGACTCTTATGGAGCTCAACGTTCAGCTTCGTGCCTTTGATGGTGACCCTCTTCCTAATCCCACTCGCTATCGTCACCTCGTTGGTAGCCTTGTCTATCTTGCTGTTACGCGTCCTGACATCTCCTATCCCGTTCACATCCTGAGTCAGTTTGTTTCAGCCCCCACCTCTGTCCACTATAGTCACCTCCTCCGTGTTCTACGATATCTTCGTGGCACGATTTCTCAGCGCCTTTTCTTTCCTCGCTCCAGTTCTCTTGAGCTCCAGGCTTACTCTGATGCTACCTGGGCTAGTGATCCCTCTGATAGACGCTCGCTGTCTGCTTACTGTGTCTTTCTTGGTGGCTCTCTTATTGCCTGGAAGACAAAGAAACAGACTGCAGTTTCTCGCTCGAGTACAGAGGCTGAGTTGCGAGCCATGGCTATGTTGACGGCTGAGGTGATCTGGTTGCGATGGTTACTTGAGGATTTTGGTGTGTCTGCTACTACCTCGACTCCCTTACTGTCAGACAGTACTGGTGCTATCAGTATTGCGCGTGACCCGGTGAAGCATGAGCTCACCAAGCACATCGGTGTGGATGCCCACTTTGTGCGTGCTGCTGTGCAGGACCAGATTCTCGCTCTTCACTATGTGCCCTCAGAGTTACAGTTGGCTGACTTCTTCACGAAGGCACAGACTCGAGCGCAACATGCCTTTTTCCTCTCCAAACTCAATGTTGTTGATCCACCATGAGTTTGAGGGGGGGTGTTAGATGTGTATAGTCTCTTTTCAGTATATCTCCATTGTATAAGGGGTTTCCTGCACTTTACCACACATGTATATGTATTGGCCTTTGGCCATCAGTAAAGATCAGTTGCTCATTATCCAACAAAAACCATGTCACTTATTTTGGGACAGAGGGAGTATAGGTTACTCTTGTGATTATAGGCTGTCGTTACAGAAACCAAGCAATCAAGCATGCAAATTACTCCCTCTGTTCCAAAATATAAGTCTTTTTAGATATTTGAATAGGACGACATATGGATGAATATAGACGTATTCTAGTGTGTAGATTCACTCATTTTGCTCCGTATGTAGTCCATATTAGAATCTCTAAAAAGACTTATATTTAGGAACGGAGGGAGTAGATTAGATCTGACGTTTTTACGATTTCTGTAGGTTCTACTGGTTGATTCCACGCATGTGGTTCATTCTTGATGCAAGTAACAGAATAATCTTATATAAGAAGCCTAGGTTACATACATTAAAATGGATGTTGTTGCTGCATCCAAGGTGTTCACATAACTGAGCACCTAACATTAATGGGCTAACGATAGTTACTAGTCGAAATTGAGGCCCTGGTATCTTACTATGTTATTAGTTACTGGGTTCTGTGCTATTTGCTTGTCTTTAAATTCTTAGTTGGAAATGCTGATAACCTACGATCTGGACTCATGTTAAATATCTTTGCCGGTTAGGTTTTTAGCTTTTTATAATTACTCTGATTGCAACAGGTTTGGACCAAAAGATTGGTGTCACTGTTATTGCAGCTACGAATCGTCCTGACAAAATCGACATTGCACTTCTGAGACCAGGTCAACCATCTTAACTACACGGACTATGCACATGTATTTTATGGCCTTTGTTCCTTGCTTGGGTTACACATGCAATGTATTATGTTGGTTTAACTTCATGAATGATGTATGCACTAGGTCGTTTCGATAGACTGCTTGATGTTCAGCCACCAGATGAAGCTGACCGTGAAGATATTTTCCGGATTCATACACGCAGCATTCCCTGCAGTCACGATGTTAATCTAAACGAACTCGCTAGACTCACAGAAGGCTACACCGGTGCCGACATAAAGCTCGTCTGCAGGGAAGCCGCTGTAGCTGCTCTTGATGTATGCTACCTGCTCTTTGCCCATTCTGGTACATGATGAGTAGATGTATTTTCACTAGAAGCTTGCTGATAAACTATTTGCATGTCCACCAGGAGAACTTTGACATCCCAGAAGTAGCAATTACACACTTCAAGTCGGCAATCGACCGAGTAAGTCCATCAGATATGAAGTTTTACCAAGAACTCGCGGCACGATTCCGCCGACTCGTTGATGACACAGATAAAGCAACTTTGCCCGGAACACATATCGAACCTGCCATTTAGTGGCCCATAAGATTCTTCTGTCATAGAAGAGAGCAGTTCACTGTAAGCCATCCCTCATCTTCACCATACAACCTCAAGTCATTGAATTTTATCGTGTTGTTTTTGTACTTTATCCGGTTCCGCTAATACCAGAAGCTGTCAGCATAAAACTGCAATCCTCATTTATGACAGTGCCAGCTATGAAATGGGGCCGGCAAGGGTGCAGAAATGGGCGTTATTAATTGGTCTGCAGTCGTTTTCTCTATCAGCCTGATGTTCACAATGATTTTCTACTGATCTGCTCAGAAGAATCCATGTTGACCTTGCCAAACAAAAGGAAAAAGGAATCCATGCTGACAGTTGTACTATGATCTTCTCCAGCATTTCATGCAGCTGATTTTTATTTTTATTTTTTTGGGTTCTGATGAAAGCTAGTAGTGCATGTCATGAGTTTCATCCTTTTCCTGGATGTCCACCTGATCTACTAGTACTAATTTTGTAGTGGTAGCTCTTGAAATAGGGGATACTGATTACTAAACAATTGCCTGTGCAATTTTGCTAGTCGAGTACCCGTGGAGTGTATAGAATCTTTTGCTGTAGAGATTGCTAGATGCTGGTCGTGTCACCTATTCAAATTTGTGCACATTTAGACCTGTTCCAAATGAAACTTTTTTTCTAGGGAAATGTTCCAAATGAAACTGACCCCGCCAGTAATGGCATCGAGGGGTCTTGCACACGTGAAGTTTTGGCAGGGGGGAGTTTGGAATCCCTGCTCGAATCCTCTGCATTTTGGTTCAAACAAATGGAACAGAAGGAAGGACGAAGGAAGTTTCCTTTGATCTCTATTTTATAAAGGAAAAAACATAGGAATTTTACAATTCACTCGGACCTCCTTTTCAAATTACAGTGCATGAAGAGTTATTGATTTATGCATCACGCATGAACTGATATTTATGGGGCTGGAAACTTTGCTAAAGCATGCACATAAATAGATGAATGAGACTCGGGAATTCATTGACAGTGACTTTTGAACTTCAGGGAATGTTTGGGGTTTGACTTTGATTTGGCCATCTTTATTGGAATTCCTATGTTTTTTTTTCCTATTCCTTTGAACCAGTCCAGGGCCTTTGGTTCAAAGAAAATCCATCGAACTAAACAGTCAGCAAAGTCTCTTGAGCAAAGATGTGTCGGTCTCAATGATGATTCTCCTCATGCCATCCTTGGAAGCAAATCCAGTACCTTTCATGGAGGCAACGGTTTCAGCATATAAAACATCAACAACCCTGAATAGCGAGAACGGTATTTTGGAGCTCGGTCTCCATAGAGGCTGATTTTTTTGAAAATTTCAAAATCTATACTTTTGGGTTTCAATTTTTTTTAAAAAAATTGTACAACTATATAAGGATGTGATGTGTATGCATGTAGAATTTCAGAATGGAATACCTTGATATGCGTTCTGTACGAAAAGAACAAATTGATGGACTTTTGGGATGAATAGTATCATGTGTTGAAGAACCACATATTTGTCTTTTTTCCCAACCCTCATTTCAACGTATGTCGTCCTGAAAATTACACACATGCCTCCATGTAGGTCTATATTTTTTTTTCAGATTTTTTTGAAATGTAAAAATATGATATTTTTTTTAAACCGGCCTCCATGAAGGCCAAGCTCCAAAAGCCCTTTTAAATCACGGATGCAAAAGCTCTATCTCAAGAAATTATGAGCCGATGTGAAATCTTAGGGTTCCTTTGATTCAAAGGAATTTTATATAGGATTTCTGGATGATTGAAATGCTTAGATTTTTTTTCTATGTTAGTCCTTTGATTTATAGGATTGGATCCCATAGGAATTTCTTTTATGGAATCTTTTGTAATTTGTACTATATCTCATAAAAAGCCTGACATCCACTCAAACCTCTTTTCACAATTCATTTGTTTTTCTTGTGGCATCAAACACTCATTACTAATCCTATAAAATTTAAATCGACATGCCACTTCAACCATATATTTTTTTATCCCTACGTTTTGAAAATCCTACAAATCAAAGAGGCCCTTAGGGATGTGGAACTTGATGCAAGCGCCATTGGCCATTGCAAGGCGACACGTGTCATGTTAATTCTGTTGGTTTTTGTCCTGGTCACCAGGAGAGGATTAAACTACTCTGGTCACACTGGGCCCGTAAACAGGTCTTTTTTAACACGTTACCCGGCCCAGCCAAACGAGGCACAGGGCCCCAGGGCCACGCCACCCCACGTCCATCCGCATATAAGCCCTCCCCTTCAAGGCTCCAACCCTACTGATCCGGTGTTTCCTCTCGCCGCCGCCGTCGCCGTCGCCTCCTCCTCTTCCTCCTCCGTCGCCTCGCCACTGTCTTCGCCATGGGGAGACGTAAGATCGCTCGATCCGTCCCATCTCCGTTCCCTACCTCCCTTTTCATGCAATAATCTCGCTACGTTTCGATCCGTGTGATGTGTGGATGCGGCTGTGCGGTAGGGTTTTGTCTCCGTACCTAGTTCTTGCCTGATCTAGCGGTCTAGCCCTGTGTGCGATGTTGACGCGAGTTCCGATGAGCTGGGACCAGTTTAGGGTTATGTGTCTCTGCCCACCGCTGTCGAGTTTCCGGTGTTTGGCATCTCTGCGCCTATGTGTTTAGGGTAAAATTGGATGGATGCTGTGATTATTCCCTTTAGACTTGTCAAATGCTGGTTCTGCTTGCAATAGGCACATTTTAGGTGAGTCGCCACTATGGTCCAAGAGGTTTTCCCCGTGTTGTATAAAGTCGATTGTGTGGTTTTGATCGTCTGTTGTCTATACAAATCTCTTTGTGATATCCATCATCTTTTTCTCAATATCATGTTAATGTTGAGCTCAACCTCTTTGGAACTATTGGCTGGTGTTCGGTTGTCATGGTTTATAGGGAATTTTACTCTCCTAATCATTTCTGTTTCATGTGTATATTGTGATTGCCAATTTGTAACCATGTTGCCTTTTTTACAATTCCTCTGATTTATTTTGATGCATGGGTCTTGTTGTATTATGTTATGTGTTTAGGTTTCAGATGTGGTGTATGCTGTAGTTATTAGAGTATGTAAAGTGGTCAAAATGTTAGTTGTACACTGTGTCTGTTTGTTACCCATCATTTCCTGTGGACTTTGTTAAAACCAGAAACTGTTATGATGGTGTTTATCTATGTCACCCCATTCCATTATTATTATTGCTTTACTTGTGTTAATGTTGGTATTAACTACTCCCTCTGATCCTTAAAAGTGTTGCAGTTTTGAACTAACCCTTGTTCAAAACTTCGACACTTCTTTTGGATCAGAGGGAGTATTACTTATTGTATACATTTCATTCATTAAGCCCTTAGGTTCACTGTAATTCATAGATATGATGTAAATTTGGCTACACAGCCACAACTTTCCCTTCAGGTTATGTAAGAAGTTAATTTCTATTTGTGCTGCTTTCATGCTATGCCTTGACGACAATATTTTCTTTTTCTGTTGCCAGCTTCCATATACAGTTCTCTGTTGAATTATAAACTGTGTACTGCTTTTCTGAGAAGTTTTGATTAGAGAAAGCATTTCAGTCTGAGGTGTCATTCAAGTTGACTTGTTCCTCTCCAATTGCACTTAATGTATTTTGTTGGTTGATATGAGCTTTACTTCTTCTATTATACAAAATATTGTTTCCTGACTTAATGCCGATAATTGAGACACCTGCATATGTATTTGGTTTCTTATAATTTCGGTGCTTTGTTCCTCTGATCAGGACCTGCTAGGTGCTACCGCCAGATAAAAAACAAGCCATACCCCAAGTCAAGGTACTGCCGTGGTGTACCTGACCCGAAGATCAGGATCTATGATGTTGGGATGAAGAAGAAGGGAGTGGATGAGTTCCCCTCCTGCGTCCACCTGGTCAGCTGGGAAAAGGAGAATGTCTCCAGCGAGGCTCTTGAGGCTGCCCGTATTGCTTGCAACAAGTACATGACCAAGAATGCTGGAAAGGATGCGTTTCACCTGAGGGTCAGGGTCCATCCATACCATGTCCTTCGTATCAACAAGATGCTTTCATGTGCTGGGGCTGATAGGCTCCAGACTGGAATGAGGGGTGCTTTTGGGAAGCCTCTGGGTACCTGTGCTCGTGTGGACATTGGCCAAGTGCTCCTATCTGTGCGCTGCAAGGAGAGCAATGCTGTTCATGCTGATGAAGCCCTCCGCCGTGCTAAGTTCAAGTTCCCTGGCCGTCAAAAGATCATTCGCAGCAGGAAGTGGTATGTCACCTGTCTTTTCAATTTATACTGGTTGTTTCATTGTGTTATGGAAAGTCGGAAATTCTATGAGATGACTAGTTTGAAGCATTGCTAATTTCCACTTGATTTTTCAGGGGCTTTACCAAGTTCAACAAGGCCGATTACATCAAGTACAAGAGTGAGGGAAGAATCGTGCCTGATGGTGTCAATGCTAAGGTGATACATTTTTTCCCACTGAAACATCTTCATGTTTGCTTTAGTTCTGTTCTACTAGACTATACAATTCCCAAAACTTAAAATGTAATGTTGGTTGCTGAATTCCATTCCACATTTTTACTGCTTGTTACATTCAGGTCTGTGCTTCAGTTTATTGTTGTGTGTAACATAAATATTCTGATTCCTAATAATCTATCAATGGAACACTGAGTTGGTCAAATTTGTTCCATGCTAACATGATGTTTACTTCAGTGCTAATATCAAGTTAAACCTGAATGTTCATATGTTTTCTGTAATAATAACTATCTTATATTCCTACTGCTTGTTATAGTTCTGCCGCATCAAATATTCTTTACTTGCATATTGAATTGTTTGTCTATTGTTGGCTCTTATATACTTGTAATAATAATCTTACAGTCTCATACTGTTTCTTCTTCCAACTCTTGTGCAGCTGCTTGGTGTCCATGGCCCCATTGCTAAACGCGCACCTGGGCAGGCGATCCTGGCTTGAGGCAGTTGAAGCATGCACAGACCATTTCCTTCGCTAGATGGAACT